GGTTGGGGCTCCCTCTCCCAGCCTTCGGCGGGGTGCCTTTGGTGCCTGCGTCGGAGGTGAGGAGTTTGGGAGTGCTCTTGGACTCCTCCTTAACGATGGAAGCCCAGGTAGCAGCCACTGCCAGATCGGCTTTTTACCATCTGAGGCGGGTTCGGCAGTTGGCTCCCTTCCTCGACCGCGAAGACCTGGCTACAGTGATCCATGCGACGGTCACCTCAAGGCTAGATCACTGTAACGCTCTCTACATGGGGCTGCCTTTGTCTCTGACCCGGAAGCTGCAGCTAGTGCAGAATGCAGCAGCTAGGCTGCTGATGGGCCTCCCCAGGTGGGAGCACATCAAGCCTGGGTTGAAGGCGCTGCACTGGCTGCCTATAGCGTACCGAGTCCGCTTCAAAGTGCTGGTGCTTACCTTTAAAGCCCTATATGGCCTGGGTCCGACCTACCTGAGGGACCGCCTTTCCCCATACATACCCCCAAGAGCACTTCGGTCAAGGACCCGGAACCAGTTAGTAGTTCCGGGCCCCCGAGAGGTGAAATATGCTGCAACAAGGGCCAGATCATTCTCAGTGGCGGCCCCTGCCTGGTGGAATGAGCTCCCGGAGGAGATCAGGGCCCTGCGGGACCTTATGCAGTTCCGCAGGGCCTGCAAGACGGAGCTCTTCCACCAGGCTTTCACGTAGGGGCCGCCACTGCTGTTGCCACCACTACCATCAACGGTGGTAAGAACATCGAAGCTGAGAGTGCCCTTAAACGTAGCCTTGAACGTAGTACTACTAGAATGCTGCAATGAATACAGCGGACGGGCTCGGACCATTTCTGGACAATGATGCCATCATTTTTAACAACTTAAGACCGCCTGATAAAAGGAAGCACTTTATTGTTTACTGTTGATTGTAATGTTATTGGATTTTATTGGATTTTATGTGATTTTATGTTCGGGCTATGCCCCTTGTAAGCCGCCCTGAGCCCGCTTGCGGGGAGGGCGGGGTAAAAATACTTAAATAAATAAATAAAATAAAATAAATAAAACACAGCGAAAATGTAAATGTTTCTCTTTCTTTTCTGTTTAAGTGTCTCACCAGTTCAGTAGAACAGCTGCCAAACCCACGTGCAGTGGGATTAGAACGTGGGTCCGTTCTGCTATGGGTGGTGGCACTTTCCACTTGCACAAGGCACTCTCCCCCTGAGGCAAGAGTTAGGGAAAGTCTCTTTGCACTGAAAGG